TCTACGCTGACAGTCCGCGTTATCGCACCGTCGGATTCCCACAGAGGCGCTAACCACAAAGCAGGAGACGCTCTGGGCCCTAATCTTGGCGTGGAAAACACGAAGTGCTGTGTGCTCTTTTGACCAAAGGACATGTAAACAGAACTGTCAGGTCCGGAGTGATTCAGGCTGTGCTAAAGAGGTAAGGCCGGCCTTTCACCAACCTCAGGGCAAAAATGTTCAAAGAATGAAATCTGTACTGAGCACAGAGACATTTTCATGTAATCACCCTCTCAACTATACAATGTGACAACTATTTACTCGGCATTTACAACTGTTAGGTACAAGTCATCTGGGGGTGACTTCAGGAGGATACGCATCGGTCATACCCAAAGACTATGCCATTTTGTATGGGACTTGATGATCCTCGCGTTTTGGTAAACTGGGAGGAGGGGGTGACCTGAAACAAAGCCCCCACAGATGCTGGATTCAAATGGGTAGAAAAATCAGCATTACATGGACCTGAATTCCTGGGCAGCATCCACCTGTCTGTAAAGTGTTTTATTACAGTGCCCCCCCACCCCTGCCACGTCTGGAAGAGAGATCTCTCGGTCCTTAGCACTTAGTTACAATGTTTCACCTGGACAACTGACAGGAGCCGCAACTACAACCAAAGCAATGTGAAGGACACTCACAGCAACACACAGATCGTCCCATGTTGTGAGTCGACAGCGTTGTTTCTTCCTCGACTGACAAGATAATTTCCCTGATGGACTCGCATCATTTTTTTCCCATCTGGCAAATGACGGCGCCCTGCTCTGCTCGAGCTGCGCCATAGTCAGTCTGTGAACACCAAGGCCCAGTTAGGGTGTGGCTGAACTTTTGTTCTTTTAGCAATTTCTACAAGCAAACAAGTAGCCTGCTTAAATTGCACAAAACCACAAAGGAACTAACAGGCATCGAGAATTTCAATGCCAAAGAAAGGTGAAGTGCAGCAGTTGCACTTTACACTCATACACAAAAATCTACACCGAAATCTTCATTCCATTGCAAATCTCGCTTCCAACTTTCTCTTTACCCTTTTCTCTCTGAGATGGGTTTCACTAAATTGTGCAGAGACCCTGTGATCACAGGCAAGCAGCCAGATTCCATGTCTCGGTCCTGTGTTCTGAGAGGGAACAATCGCCCCAATTCAGAGGAACGATCCCGACGGTGGGGCCACACACCGCGAGAGCTTTGGGGCTCACTTGATTTTTCTTTAAAAGAAAACTTGCTACTCTGCAGCCTCAGTTTCGTAAGCCAGCATTCGGAGATGTGTGCAGGGCCTGGAGAAAGGTGGTGTGGTGTGGACATGCTCATGACGTGGTAAAGGTGTGGCCCAAGAGATGTCCTGATGCATCTCCAAAGCATGTGCCAAAATGCCACAGGGGTGCTGGCAGAAACACCCAGAGAGAGCCCACCGGGACGGGCCAGGCAAACACCAGTCTCTCCGTGGAACCATCTTCAAAGCACAGCCCCCGATTGGCTGGAGTTTCCCGTGTCTAGAGCTCGCTTGTCTGGGTCCACAGCACCCTGAACCCTGGACCCCGTGTAAAGTCCCTGCCCGAATACAGACACAGAACCAAGCCACAGGAGAGTGAAGACCAAAAGGGCGACAGAGCCAGAGGCTGCCACATGGCTCATGTATCAGCACCAGGTTTCAATGGGAGTTGGCCCTGGAGAGGGTGAGAGACGCCCAGGCCCATTTTCAGAAGACATCCGGCCTATCAGCAGAACACACACCGGGCTGTTAGTATGGAAGAACTGCCATTTGGGGGGACTGTTTTCTTCTGGTGTCCATTTACTGCTGCATCAAGGGTGCTAAAAATCTTTGGCTGAAAAGAAAGGAAAATACAGACACACACACACGTGCACACACACACACACACACACACACAATCTACCGCCCGTTATATAGATGAAGAAACTGAGGCAGAAATACGTGGATAAAATAATGAAACCAACAGAAGGGTATTGAAATGTTTATTTTCATGTTAAAAATGATGAGTTACCCTGTGGTTAGAATATACGTTTATGCTGGAAAATGAAGTCACTTTATTTCTGAAAGATTTCCAGGGGAGAAAAAGGAAAAATCCAAAAGTAATGAAGGGGAAGATCAAAGTGTTCTGGCAGATTCCACCGACCATCCCAATGGACTGTCCAGGCCGGAACTCCTAGCTTCACCATGCCAGGTTTCAATGTTTTTCCCAACAGTTTAGGTATTTTTCGAACTGGTTGTCTGTACATTTAAAAGCTACGGCTTGGCATGCTTTTATTTTAAAGGGTATTTATTCCAACTCTCGGAGTTTCAGTATATTGCCTATATTACATACAAAAATAGCTGCTATTCATATTTCAGCGTAACTCTTCCACCACCCCCTCTGTGCATTTACAAAACAGGCATTACATCACACACAGATCATGTGTACTGGGGAATGGGTTACTGAGCATTTAAACCAGCTGTGGTGTCATCTACAGAGACAAGAACGGAGAACTGAGACCGTTTTTTCAGGGGATTGGAGTAGAATCCCCCAAGGTGCCAAGGAACAGGTATGATTCAGATGAGACCACCGCAGCAGGCGTTCTCTTGGACTATAAGTAGTTCTTCCCTGGCAAACACAATTTTTACTGTGTTTTCGACACCTCAACATTGGAATGACCCCTTCCTTTAAAAAGGAAACAAGAGTGTTGATCAGAATGTGCGAAGATGGATCTCCTAAAACTTAAAATTAGCAAGGTACAAATTAGCCGGCAGATCTCGCAATGGACAAAAATCAATCCGTGTGTTCACTCCCTTCGAGTTTATAAATAGAAATTCCCTGCCAAGACATTAAGGACTATTTGGTTTGGGAATTTATTACACCGGCCAGTGTGCAGTAGGAACAGGAAGTTGATTATTCTCTCATCATGTAAGAGTATTCTGCAGTTTGCTAGATGTTCTTGCAAAGAAAGCTGCTATTGTCTTTTCTTCACGCTCTCAAGTACAACACACCTGTTTGGTTGAACTCCAGGTCTGTGGTGTGGCAGCTGCTTCCCGGCCCCAACAGCAGCACATCTGGACTGCAGAAGTGGTTGCATGCCTTCCACTGTTCTAGGTCTTACAGTCTTTCCTGTGCCTCAACTTTCCTCCGTGTGACCACAGGGTTCACAGTCTGTGCACCCTGGAAGGGTTTTCTCCTCCCTTCCTCTGAGATGCCACTCCTGTGTGAAAGGAGGGACCTGGGAGCCCCATGTGGTTCAGGTTATTTACCGAGACCCGTAATCTGGAGACCTCAGCCGTACCAAGCTAGAGACCCAAGAACACTGCATGGCCTCTGGGAAACTGGATTTCCAGGCTTGGTACCTTACATTCTTCCTTTTCATGTAGATGTTTTTTAGGGCTAAGTAGCTGTAACTGACTAGCTGGAAAACAAGGTGACATACGCCACAGGTTATGAGCTCAAGCAATACTGAGAGACCAAAACGCATCTGTGAGACTCTTATGCTGAGAGATGCCCATGCCAAACCGAGAATGACATCCACTCTTGATTCCCACTGATGCACACGTGAATGTGTGTTCCATGTACGTTTACACGTGAATGCTGTGTGATGAAAGGGACCCCTCATGACCTTCCACTTGGCTTTTCTTTTGAACTGACTGAGTCCTAACACAGACAGATACAAGGCTGACCCTCTCTGGGTGAGCGTGTGGTCCCTAGGACCACGGTCAGTGACTGGCTCACCACAGAAGAAATCCTTGTAATGTTCCTGAACATTACACCCACAGAAATGGGAATTTCCTTCTCAACTAGCTACGCCACTGCCCCTGTCATCCTGTGCCAGTGGAGCTCCAGCACAGGGAGGCGCCTCTCTGGGGAATGAGCCCCAGGGGTGACGTTGCAGACCCAAGGGAGACAGGACTGAGTGCCTGTGAGAGAAGTTGGACTTACCTGGAGAGCCGTGTCAATCAGTACATGAGCTTTTCTTCTGCCAGGCTGGGGGCCACCTCCCCAATGATCTCTGCAGGCTGCTGGCTAACTGGGGGGCTCCTCCTGAGAGAACCTGTCTGCAAACTCTGGGCTGCTAAAGCGGGACACCCTGATCCATTCTCCAGCAAACTGATGTTCCTCGCAATCCCACCAGTCCTAACTCACATTTTGCTTATTCAAAAATCCTGCTGTGCCTGAGACCATTCACATTGTTTTTAAGCAACTTTTTAAGATTATGCAGGAATCTTTTTTATTCTCTGACCACTTTTGTTTTTCCGCAGGTGTGGACTGCTCATGAGGTGAGCTTCTTAGACTGCGGAGTAGTCATTTACTTTTATGAATTCGGGGGGAATCTACTGCTTTTCTGCACCAGTACATACCTGTACAAGTTCTACCTCTGCCAGGGTCAAGACTGAGATTTGTTTTTCTGGGTCACTGTACAGATGGATTTCTACATATTGCTAACTTTAAACACCGTTAAGACATTGTGTTTGTTCTGGTAAAATGGAAAGTTTAGTCTGAAGCCATTTCTTGGACAATTTCCTTTCTGTAGAGGAGCAATTCCTCTTTTAGGTGCCAGCTTGGATAATCCACTGTGTGGACCACAGAGAATACGGCTATAAATACAGCTATGTTGGGGTCTTTCTGTCCTCAGAAATGCGCTCCAGGAGCTCCTCAGAATTGTCAACAAGCGGATGACAAAAATAAATGTTTGTGATTCACAACTTTTCTCCAAATGTTTTAAACTTCCTGTACAAAACCGTAAAGAGATGGCCCTCCCTCGCTGGATAGTAGCACTTTTAAGTAAAACCCCACCCCAGTCCTACTCAGGAAAGTTGAACGGCAAAAAGAAGGAAGAACAAAGCGAGAAGAAACTCCTTAGACTCTGCCCCTCCACAGTGCGGATGGCTGGATAAACCCCACATCCTGCAGGGCACCCAGGAAGTAACAGGGCATGGCAAGTTCCGGGGAGTGAAACACGCACGGAAATCGGACAGACGTCAAAGGAAAGACTGAAATTTCTTTGCTTCACATTTCACAAAAAAGAAAAAAAAAATCCGGAGGACAAAGGAACGTGTGCGGGTGCAAATGTACATAAAAAAATAACAAGGAGCGACCTAACAAACAAGGAAGCTACATTCAGTTATCTCTCGCGTACGTCTCAGCTCAGGCCAGAGGCTCTGAGCATCCACTGTGCTTTAAAAGGTCTAAGAGTAGAAAAATCACCACCCAGATCCTTCCTGGTTGCACGCCACGTGGCCAGTTGCCATGAGATGACTCGGTATCTGTAGGGTCGGGTTTATTGTACTTGCACCGAGCTCAGAGTGGGCCGGAGAGGGACCGTTGTCTCAGAACTTCTCCAGGCCCTGTGTGCAGCTGTGTGAGAGGCATTTCCTGGTCAAGCCCGGCGGCCGTGGCTCCAGGCCTCGGAGGCCTGCCTTGGTGGACATCCGCCAGACCTCCTCTAGGTAAACCCTGCTAAGTCATCCCTATTGCTGATCGAGTCACTGCTCCACCATCCCAAAAACAGAAGGCATAAAGGTGAATACAAACGTAAAAAAGGAGCTCACATCTGGTCCTGCAGTCTTTCCATATAGTCTCTAAAGTCCTGCGAGTCCCCCAGCCCCATATCCTGGCAGACCCACTTGATGTTGTCATCACTGTCGAACAGGATGGAGTTGGTGTACGGGCCGCCGTCCTCCGGGAGGATGGTGGTGTAGGACGTGAACTTCACCCGCTTCCTCTTCGGGCCCGCAGAACTCACGGGCTCATTTTGCATCTCCGTCTCGTAGACGTAGTCAGAAGGCCTGAGCAGCTGGCTGTGGAAAGTCTTCTGGGAGCCGCCGTTCAGCAGGAAGTTCCTCTCCTCGAACTGCAGCCCCTGGTCCAGCACGGTCGTGCACTCCTGGGAGGGCAGCGCCGCGTCCACCGGGTTCTCCAGCAGCTCCACCTCGTTCCCCAGCCAGACCCAGTCGTGGGAGTGCGGGATGTTGCCCTGCTCGCTCACCGCGAACCTCTTGTGTCTGTACTTCCAGGCAAACGCCACGCAGTTGATCAGGAAGACCAGGATGGCCAGGCAGAAGACGCAGAGCAGGGCGTACATGCCGATCTCCAGGTCCGTGAGGCCCCTCGAGGCCATTGCAAGGTCACTGGGGTTGTTGGGTCCCGGCGACTTCCCCTGAGTGGGGAAGCTGGTGAAGGCATCTGCGCCACCACTGCCGAGCACCTTCCCTTCCCTGCCTCCCGCAGGAGCCTGCAGGGCTGTGCTTTTGTTGGTCCTTTCCTCCGGGCCAGCGGACGCGCCATGCTGGAACCGTTCCTGCACGGCTCGCTCCCGGCTTCCTTCCCGCTCTATGGAGTTACCGAGGCGGTCTTGGTAGTCCCGGTTTACACCTTCGATGTCATTGCTGCCTCCTCGGTGCCCATCCACGCTTGGTTCAAACTTGACCTTGACATCTCCCCTACCCACGGCAAGAACACTCTTCCTCTTGGTCTTCTGACAAGGTTCACTAATCATCATCTCTGACTTCACCAGCGGCCCTTGTCCTTCCCCCTCTGGGGCCGCCACCGGCCTTGGGACTGAAGATCAGGATGGACGGACACCATTTGATGAGAGACAGTTATGGAAAAATCCTTGGGACAGCCACCACCGGCCACTTAGACTGAAGGTTTGGCTGGACGGACACCACCATTTCATCCAACGATGACGCGGTTATGGAAAAATCCTTGGGATCATAGATGTCTAGAGGTGTCACCGAACCATCACTGAACAAAAGCCAAGTACTGACTATTGCTTCCTAGGGGGGGAAAAAGTGTCATGTTATAATCGGGTTCCTTCAAATTTACAGAGATATGATTTCCTGTATCAAGTATTTAAACATACAAAGAAATATAAAACTTGTTTTCTAATCTTGAGTGGTTCTTGTTATTTCTTGAGCTGGCATCAATAAAGTGCTAAAGCCCCACCGGAATGAGGAACAAATAATACATTTTAATGAATGCACTAAAGTGCAGATTAATCTATTGCACGCCGCACCACAGAGTTGACTTTGCGCTTTCTGAAAACACTTTGAGAGATCAGGAAATGGATCTGAATCAACTTCAGGTGCAACTAAGCAGGCTCCTGCTCAAAAACCATCGCTCTGCTCATTCTTTATTAGGAAGCACACTCGTACGGCGTGTAGGTTCTCGGTCAGCCCTGCAGGATGCGGCCGGCAGCCAGCGTGTACAGTGTAGGGCCCCTGCGTTGTTAAAAATGATTTATAAATGATTTATAAAAGTTTAAAGATGGAGGAGAGTTGTAGGATCGCCAATCATTGCAGTAAACAGCAGCAATTTGGGGCCTGTCAGCCAGGCCTGTTCAAGCAGCTGCATGGAATTTCCAAGCACACAGTCACCTGTTTTGTTGGCAAAGGTGAACACACAATCTTTTGTTCACAGTACACACTGGCCCACCGGAAAGGAAAATGCACCCAAGGTCCTGAAGGCTTTTCTCAGACACCGCAAGGTTGGACTGGAAGCAGGAAGGACTCGGAGGCAGTGGCTGTGCGCGAGTGCTTTCCTCACCTACTTTCCCGGATGCCACCACGGAGACCAGGCCCAGAGCCCCTGGGGCTCTTACCTGCTGTGGGGCTTGGAGGACTTCCTGGGCAGCCGCTGTGGAGACGATGACCCTCTTGTCTGCTCTGTGAGGCTGCAGGGAAAGAGACAACCCAGCCACCAGCTGCACGCTCAGCTCCACGATGGTGACCCGCTCATCCAGGACGAGCACGGTCTTCTCAGCCAGGATGGTGTCGGAGAGTGGCGACAGAACCTGGGGAGCAAGCACAAAACCTCAGCACTGCCCACCTAACAGAGCTCCTGGCTCACCAGTCTCCTCCTGGTGCTTTGCAGGCAGCTTCCAGTTGGCCGCCCGGACTCACATCTACAAATCTGAGCACAGCAACCACTGTGACTGACATGTCTGTGCGCAGGGCAACCAAAGATGCCCTCAGAAGCAAAGAGCTGTGCCCTGGCCGATGGCACAAGGCATCAGAGACACAGAGAGTGTGAAGAGGACTTGACCCAGCCACTGCCGATGATGGGGGACGCATGAGAAGCAGTGTCAGTGTCCCCTGGGAACAGTGGCCCCAGGAGGACAGCAAGGAAGCAGGGACCTCAGTGCTATGCAACTACGAGGGCTAAGTCCTTCCTTCTGAAGCCAGTTATTTCCCCTGAGCCCAGGTGAGGCCCAGGCCAGATCCCACCACACCCTGGACTTGGGACTGGTAAATCAGTGTTGCTGCAAGATGCTAAAGTTCTGGGGACCCGTTACACAGAAATGGGGGGCAAAGACAGGCTAGAACACGTTTAACCCAATTTTGCCAGCACCTAAAATATGAACAAGCTACATTTTAAGTTTGTATAGAGAAAACACACTGCAACCCACCCCCCAGAATCAGCTAGAAATTGTTTTACTATTAGAGAGTTTGTAACCACATATTCATTATTTAGTGCAAATACATGCTTTTAAAAATCTTTGTCTACTCCTGAAATACAGCTAATGAATCAACTTTAAGTGCAGCTAATATATCACAAAGCTAAATGGTTACTTCCAGGCGATGGGGAAAATAAGCTTTCAGAGATCTGACTACCCTCTGCAGGCAATATACCTCATAAGACATAAAGGAGTGGGAGGTTGGCAAGTTCCAGGCTGGCTTGGGCAACTAGCAAGACCCCATTTCAAAAAAAAACTTCCAAAACAGGTGAGCAGATTGCCCAGTGGTAGGGCACTGGCCTCGCATGAGTTCCATCCCCAGCATGCCAAACAGAGTACATTTTAAGAAGTACACCACCATATCGAGGAAAAGATCACACTGTTTTCTGTAGCTCTCCATGATAAAAGATTCAGTAACCCTCTCAACACTAAGACACCAAAAATATCACCTTTTCACTTAATACCCTATCGTCCCTCACAGTTCTCTAACACACACACTCGCTCCGGGCACCCCAACACCACTCTCCTGGGTGTGCATGCACTCTCTCACCCGTGTACGTGTCCTTGGTGGCCACAGCTACTCAGCTGCCCATCAGGACAGGCAGAAGCTGGGCTAAGTGACCAGAGCGGACAGCTATACCTGCACAGTGGTTATTCCTGGCTCCCGGCCTGCCAGCGTCCTGCCGTCCTGTAACTCGGCGATCTTAGGCTCCTCCACCTTCATGAAATCAGCGACCAGGTCGGTGATGTCAAACTGCCAGTCGGGGCCCAGCATGTAGGTCAGCCGGCCCGCGTCTGGCACTTCGGCCACGAACTGGGTGAGGACGCGTACCAGGGCATGCTGGTACTGCAGGGAGCAGCCCCGGCCCTTCCGCTCCTCCTCCTCCTCATCCTCACTCTCCCGGGTCGGCCTGGGCACAGAGACAAAGCGGTCAGCCTCCTGTAGGCATGGGCGCCTGGGCCCTGGGTTAGATTCTGTACGAGGAAGCTCGGTGAGAGCAAACAGTTTTCTCTGCCAGCCATCCACGACTCATTCAACAGCACTCCAGGGTGCTGTGTACTCCATGGGTGGCCTCACATTTGGGACAGGGACGGCAGATGCAGCGTCCCTCTCGCCCAGAGTGGTGGGAGATCCAGGCCCCGGGGCGGAGGCTGGGGCTCTGGCCTCTGTGCTGGAAAAGCCACTCCCCTGTGGGGAGGAGGAAGCAGGCCCTGGCCTGGTCTGTGGGGAACAGGACAGCTGAGTCCAGGGCAGTTGGCTCCAGCTCCCCTCCCCTCCGCTAGCTAGACTCAGCGTCCTCATGCTGGACGTCAGGACGAGGACAGCTGTGCATTCCCTCCGCCAGGTGGGCATGCGAATGGGATGACACTGCGGGAAGATCCGGGAAGCACAGGGACAAGCGCCCACCTCCCCACTGGGGAGCCTCCTCGGAGCTCGAAACCCCAAAAGCACCAAAGCACCAAAGCACCCTCTGCTACCACAGGCCGGGCCGAACCAAACCCCTGCTCTGACTGCAGAGCACTGCGGTTCCTGCTGGAAAACCCTGACCACGTCTCCCTGGGGCCACCCAGCCTGGCTTCTCCCTCCCTCACTCCCTCCCTCAGGACCCCAATGTGTCCTCTTCTCCAGCACGTCTTCTCTGTGATCCCCACCCACACACACCCCACCCCAAGAAATCCTCTCTAGCGCTGTAATTCCAGAACCTTCCCTGAAAGAAGAATTTGTCCCACCTCCCTTGGACATGGACTTGCTCAGTGGCTACTGCCTCGTCTGTGACATCAGCAGGGTATCGGGGGTGAAGGGGCAAGGATTCATGGGTACTGAGGCGACCTGCTATGGGCCTGGCCTCCCATCACCATGACAACTGAATCACCATAGCCAAGCAGGCTTAACTCATTCCATCCTCACAGAATACTAGAGACTGAGGCTGAATCATCATCCTGACTCTGCCAATGAGGAAAGACACAGGACAGAGGACAGGCTATGGCCTGCAGGGGCAGGGTTATGGCTTGTATCTAAAGTGTCCCCTCAGGCACTCATACACAGGGCTTTGGGGAGGTGGCTGGATCGTGGGTGTGTGAATTATCATTGGATTAGTCCACCAGTGAGTTACACCTGGCTGTAATGTGTGGCAGTGGAGTGGGTGGGATAAGGTAGGTTACTGTGGGTGTCACATGGCAAGTCTGTCTCCCTCCTCTTCCCATGATCCCTCTCTGCTTCCTGCCTGTCCTGCCATGAACTGTTCCTCCTCCACCATGTCCCTATGCCAGGGCACCCTGCCTTGCAAAGAGCGGACGATGAACTGAAACCTCTACCAACTGAGCCAAAATAAACTCACCCTTTAACGTGCAGGTGTTGGGTATTTTGTTCCAGCAACAAGAAAGAAACTATGACAGGCAAGATTCATGTCAGGAAGGCTGTGCCCTCTGTGTGTGTCCACTAACACCAAGGCGCACGGTGGCCGTGTGACCCCAGCAACTGCTACCATGGATGCGTATCTGGCCCTGTGGAGCTTCCATTGCTCACTAGCCTCGTTAGTTAACAAAGATGGACACACTGACAGACAACAGTGTCTTCTCGGAATTCAATAACGACGTCTCCTTGTCTTTATATTAAATTTTAGATTAAGTTTATTTTATAATAAATGCCACTAGATGTACATCTGTCGTAGTGGGAAGTTCCCTTTAATTAAATGTGTAAAACAAAGAATATGATGAAAGCTGTTTAATGTCTCACCTAAAACTGGGCATTTTGTAGAAGTTGTCTGTGAATGTGAGAAAGTCTGATACTCTAATATTGAAACAATATAATTCTGTGGTTTTAGGACAGACTCGGTCCCTTATGTTTTTAACTTTAAATTTTAAAATAATTGTAAATTCGCTGAAAGTAAAAAAAAAAGAAACAAAAGTACAGGGAGACCCAAGACACTTGCTGCAAGCTTCTCCGTGACTCAGGACCTTCTCGGTGCTGCGGGAGCTGGCACTGGTCCCGGAGATCTTTACGATTTCACGATCTTACGAGCATGCGTGTGTGTGCGCATCACGTGATTTAACACCCACACGTGTGTGGCCCACTGGGCGTGACAGCGAGACTCCACACTGTGCATGGCGATACTTAGCTTCCACTGAGTCCCAGGCCCTCCCCGCCTTCCAACATGAAATTAAGGGTTCCATCCATGCACTTTAACACCCAGTTGGATGATGTTATAATGTTTGTTTTGCTTCAGCGTCCAAATATGATTTAAGAATTTCATTGGGAAGGGGGCCAGGGATTTGGCTCAGTGGTTCCACCACAAGCCTCACAAGTGCAAGGGCCCAATTTCAATCCCTGGTACCAAAAGAAAAAAAACTTCATCAGGAAGGAACTCATGAATTCAGGAAACAATTCTATCCTGTTTACCCATCCTATCGTGTCCTTCCTTTCTCAGTGCTGTATCTCTTCACTTATCACTTTCTCTCTTATGGAGACGTTCTATTAGCCACTCCTCAAGTGTAGTTCTCCAGAAACAAACCTTCTTACATTTTTCTTCTTGTCTTTGTTTCCCCTTCACCCTGAAGAATGCCCTCGCCAGATATAGATTCAAGGCTGACAGATCTTTTCTCTCAGCACCTGAACAGTTCGCTCCATTCTTCTGGCCTCATGGGTTCAGGTGAGGAATTCTCTCCCTCTGATTCCTGTACCTGATGACCTGGAGCTAAAATGGCCCCAAAAGTTAAGACTATGAAAAAATGTTCATCGTCACTGGTCATGGGGAGATGGAAATTAAAACAACAGTGAGATTCCCTCTCACTCCAGAAAGAATGGCATTATCAAGAAATCAACCAGCTGAAAACAACACTGAGATTCCACCTCACCCCACAAAGAATGGCTGCTGTCAAGAAATCACACAATAACAAATGTTGGGGGGGATGTGGGGAGAAAGGAACCCTTCTCCATTGTTGGTGGGAGTGCAGACTGGTGCAACCACTACGGAAATCAATATGGAGATACCTCAAAGAGCTTGGGCTGGAGGTTCCATTTGACCCAGCCATCCCTCTGCTGGGTATCTTTCCAAAAGAACTAAAAGAATCATATCACAGAGAAGTATGCACACTCATGTTTATAGTGGCACAGTTTGTAATAGCTAAATCTTGGAAACAGCCCATTTGCCCATCCGTTGGAAACTGGATAAAGAAGATGTGGTTTTTCTATAAAATGGAATATTACTCATCCATAAAGAACGAGAAAATAGATTCATTCATAGGAAAATGGATACATATTGAAGATATACTCCTAAGTGAAATAAATAAGTCACACGTGTGTAAATACTGAATAGTTTCCCTGGTGTGAATAATCTGCAACAATGCATAAGATTCTAATAAGATTACTAACATTTAGAAATGGGAAGAAAGGAGCTAAAGATGTAGGGAAGGTGGGATGGGTAGGGGAAGAGTAAAAAGGGAAAAGAAAAAAATGTGAGAGAATGAAAAGATGAAAATAAAGTGTTTGTAGATGGGGAGGGGAGGAGGGGGTGAAGGGAGGGCAGAGGTAAGGGGAAAAAATGAGAATCAAGACTTGTCATGTAGAGGTACAAGATCCCAACAATGAATGTAACTGTATTGTATCCCTAAAATGTACCAATAAACTCAATTAAAGCTGAAAAAAAAAAGGAATCAACCAGCAAAAATGTTGGCACGGATTTGGGGAGAAAGGAACCCTTCTCCACTGCTACTCAGAGTGCAGACTGGGGCAACCACTGCAGAAATCAGTGTGGAGATTCCTCAAACAACTAAAACAAGAGGTTCATTGTGACCCAGCTATTGCTCTTCTTGGTACCTTCCCGAAAGAATTAAAAGCATCCTACCACAGCCACTCATTGGTTGATGGGCATTTGGGCTCTTTCTGAGATTTAGCTATTACAAACTGATGAATGGATAAAGACGAATAAATTTGAGACATTTCTAGCTAAGTAGATGCACCTTGAGACCATATTCTTTAGTGTCATAAATCAAATACACATGTTTAAATACCGCATTGTTTCTCTGGTGTGAAAAACCAAAAGGGTAAATAAGGACCATAATGTATAGTAGATATGGAGATAGGGAAAGAAAAAGTTCAAATGAGAATGTGAACAAGGGAAGGAAGAGAAGCAAAGGAAGGAGGGGAGGGAGGAAAGGAAGGAGGATAAAGAAAAAAGAATAGAAGGACAAAATGGAAATGATGCTTTTGTAAATAAGAAGGGGGAGAGGGACTGAAGGGAGAGGAGGGGACTGGGGAAAAAAGAAAGACCAAGGTATATTATGTATGTGTATGACGTCCTTACGATGAATGTGATCATTATGTATATCTAAAATGTACCAATAAAATTAATTTTTAAAAACTAAACAAATAAAATAAAATGGCCCCCAAAGCCTCATGTGTTCGGAAGGTGACTGGATTATAGGAGCACTAAGCCTGCCTTGTTGCTAGGTGGCAGGGTCCAGCTGAGGGGTGGTCACCAGAGGCATGGGCAGAAAGGGTCCCTCTCCCCCCCAGCTCGTCCTCCTCCCTCTGCTTCCTGACCTCCATGAGGTGAGGGGTCTCCCCCGCCAGGCCTTTCCGCCATGCTGTCTCTGGTTGGAGCCAGCCAACCATGGCCTTAAAAATGTGAGCCAAAGCAAGTCCCGCCCCTTTAGGTCGTGGGTATCAGGTGTTCTGTCCTAATGATGAGACGGTGACTAAGACACTGACTTCTCTCTGGATGTTCTGAAGATTCTGCCTTTGTCTTTACATTTCAAAGGCTTCATTAGGACGTCACTTGTTTGGGTTTATCACTTTTATCATTTCTCCGGCTTTTCGACTCTGTAAGTTTATATCTTTTGCCAAGTTAGGGGAATTTTCAGCCATTATTTCTTCAAATACTCTTCCAGCTTTACACTCTTTCTCCTCTCTTTCTCAGAGTCTAGTTTATAGTAATTTTAGGATTTTTTATTGTTCCCAAAACCCCTGAAGCCCTGTTCATTTTTCCCCACTCTTTTCTATCCTTTGTATGGGAGTCAATTCTATTGTCCGTCCCCAGCTTCACTGGTTTAATCCTGTGTCAACCCTGCTGTGCTTCTTGGCCCATTCACTGGGGGCTTTTCCCAGTTATCACACATTTTAGCTAATGACTCACATCCTGTTCTTGTTTATAAACTCTATTTCCTTCCTGAGATCTTTTGCTTCTTCACTGATTCCAAACTATTTGTAATTCCTGATAGCTTTTTATTTCCTTGGTGATTTTTTTTATTCTGTTCTATACACTTGGGACATTATGAAAGAAACCCCTGCATCCCACTAAAATCATTCTAGTTGCACCTGTCCTGTGCCCATGTGCCAGACCTGGCCCAGTTTTATGGGTTTTAGCTCTAATGATCGTTTGGGCTCAGAGCCTGGCAGGGCTGTTCTGGTCAGTTTCCCTCCTCTGATATAGTGAACACACACACACACACACACACACACACACACACACACACCACATGTGCACACACGCACATATCTCCGCAGTGCACCAACCCTGGTGGTTTTGCCCGGAGGGGAGGGAGGACTTCTCTGCAGGGTGGGGGGCAGATGCCCTGGGCCTGCCTCCCACACTCCAGAGGACCAAGAGAGTTCGCTGCACAGCACACTCAGCCAGAGTGTGACTCGCGTTCCCGACCACGGAGGGTGCTGAGAAGTCCAGCCCCTGGGGTCCTGTTCCTCTGGGCTTATCCATCCCTCCAGCGCTCTTCTCTATAAGCAGCAAGAGGAATCCAAGGGGCAGCCTGGAAACCTCAGAGGCACAGCCGGCCTTGCTCGCTTTCCACACCACAGCAGCAAATGCTTCTGCTAAGCTGCTTCTCCTACCTGACAAGGGCCTTTCCTAGTGTCCCCCTGAACCCTCCCTGGCAGGTTCCATGTTCTCAGTGATTTCAGTTTTCTGTAGGGTGATTCAGGATTTCTCTTCAATGCTCCCAATGCCACATGGGCAGTAGCCTCCCACCTGCTTCTACTAACAGTCTGTTTGCGGCCATTCCATTACCGTTACGTTACTCGAAACCCTTCCGGTGCCTTCCCCACCGCCTGACTCCCAGGCCATGCACGCTTGCACAGGGGAGAAGGTGTTACAGCTATGCCCACCACCCGGCACCGGGGGCTCTGTTCACTTTTCCTACAGTGGCAAAATAAATTACCACAAATGTCAGTTTAAGACAACATCAGGTATTTGCTCGCACATCTGTGGGCCACAGCCCCGGCATGCTCAGCCAGCTTCCTGGAACACACAAGGCCACAGCAAGGCAGCAGTGTGGCTGCCCTCTGCCCTGCAGGTGTGGAAGGACCCCCTGTAGGAGCAGCCAGGTCGTGGCAGGTTATCTGGCTGCCATCGTTGAAGGACTGAGCCTTCCATTTCCTGGCTGGTGGTCACTCTGAAGTGGCTCCCCAGCTCCTGAAGATGTCACCTACTTTCTTTTGCAGCTGGCTTAACCCATCCTCAAAGCCAGCAGCATCTTAACTGCTCTCACCCTCAAATGCAACCTCCCTCAGTGCTGCCAGGGTAAGAGACCCCCTGACAGCTGGGCACCCAGGTCTCGTCCGTATCTTACAGTGACTGGCAGGGCACAGTCCCATCTGGAACGCCCCTCAGCACACTGCCCAGTTAGTGTGAGACCGGATGAGCAGGAGACGGGGGTCTCGGGCATCTGGGGTCAGCTCTGGAATTCTGTCTGCTGCAGCATGCCTGATTTCACTGAATTCCTGGAACAACTGTTCAGTGCTAACATTTTTCCAGATTTCTAGATGAAGCAACTGAGTTAATGGACAGTTTAAGAAGTCGCCAGGTCACATACTTAGTGGGCAGCAGAGGGCGAAAACTCGGGCAGCTCTACTCCAGAACTGGCTGTCTCAACTACGGGGCAGTCGCCCATGAGCAGAGTCAACTCTGACGGGCAGGGGAACCGAAGACAGGCAGCACAGGATGAACAGTGTGAGCAGGGCCTGGGAAACAGCTACATCCTAAATGCCAGGCCTTGCCGCGGTGCTTCTTGCTTCATTGCAATGAACCCTCTAAGAGGAGTCAGACAGCATCACCGTCTTGCGACTGTCACCGTTCCCTCTCCTTGTGGTGGTGCCAGTAGGTGCCTGGCTCCACCACAGAAACCAAAGCCCAGTCCACAAAGACACTGTGGCCATGGCTGCCTGCGCCAGCTTTCCCCCCACAGAGATGGGGGCCCCCGGACCCTCAGCTCCAGGTCCTCTCTGGTCCTCACCTTCTGTTGGAGGCCACCGGGATCCTCCAGCCCTTGATCTGGCTCAGCTCTGTGTCGGAGATTTCAATCTGCAGGGGCAGCCGGGGCGCCCAGACGGTCACCTCCACCTGGGTGGTGAAATGCTGATGCGTGAAGTTCACGACCGTGTCCACTTTGCTCTTCATCTCCTTCCCGTTCACGAAAATGGAGTCACAGGTGTTGGAGACCTTGGGGGAAGAGAGAGAGCCCTGGGGTGCATCAGCAGGAAAGGCGCAGGGAGATGGGGGGCAGCTGGAGTGCACGAACCGCGCAGCGCTGACGGATGACGCACAGGCGGCACAAAGGGCCACTTGTCGGTACTAATTAGTGACAGATCCTGACAAACAGACTCAAGGAAAACCATTCTATGCTGCAAAATGCTGACAAGTAAAAACATGAGCACAATTTAATGGCGTTACATAATCTCTGTTGCTTTTGCGAGTGCTTTTTTATCTTTATCTTACCTTTTCCGTGAACTTGATCAGATCCCGGATGTGTCGTATTTCACTCTTTTGCCATATTTTAAAATATATATGGGTTTTTATGTTGCTAAAAAAAAAAATAGTCTATTCAATCCCCAATGAGGATCTTCTGAAAAAAAAATCAAGAGAACTTTGGGCTTGGCGCCCAAAACTCTGGTGAGCAAAGCCCTTGTGAAATGCACTAGCGACTCCCGGGAGCGGTTATTCTGGCTGTGCTAAACTGCAACAGTGGAGGGTGCAGCACCGCACAGACAATCTTTTGTGTCAGCTCCAGGAGCTGCCGTATTTAATTCCTGTGTTCCCAGGTTCAGGGTTCAACAGTTTATGCCCCCATTTCAGGCCACATCGTCTGGATAAACAAAGAAACTATTGCTGACTTTCCCTCCTGGAACCCCAGGAAAAGGTGCTGGTGTTACACTAGAGGAAGGGAGGAGGTAGCAAGAATCACAGCATGAGCAAAAGACAAAATAAGCCGGTCATTCGCAGTGGAAGCACAGCACTCCAAGGGGCTCCTGACCTCGTTCTGCTGATGAAGAACCAAGCCAGCATGTGACACACCTGGCTTGAGGTCACAGACCCTGCGCAAAACATACACCTGTGCAAATCCTCACCGCCACCTTGCTGAGCCACGGGCACAAGCCCAGCTGTCATCTGTCTGTCTGTCTATCAGCACCAGGAGAACAACTCAAGGGCAAGGTCAGAAACGCCAATTTCCACAGAAAAAACTTCCAAGTCATCGCCTGCCCGGTTCTCCACCGAAGTCAGCACTAACACCACCCTCCAGGCCCATGTTGCCCCTGTTTTCTTCTAGTAGTTTCAGGTCTTATACTCAGGTAGGGTTTCTTTAAAACCCATTTGAGTCTATTTTTGTAGAGGGTGTGAGATGGGGTTGAGTTTCAGTCTTCTTCCTGGGACTATCCAGTCTTTCCGGCACTATTTACCCCTGTGTTTCTGGAGTTTCATGGAGAACTGATTGGCTGTAAATGCATGGGTTTATTTCTGGGCACTTTATTCTGTTCTAGTGGTCTGCGTGTCTGTTTTTGAAAAAAAAGAAAAAGAAAAGAAATTCAAATGGCCAACAAATTCATGAAAAAGCACTCAACCTCATTAGCCATCAGACAAATGAGAGTCAAAACAGCGAAATATTATCTCATCCCAGTTAGAATGGCCATTATCAACAGGGGTGGGGGACTCTGGCAAGGAGGTGCAGAAGGGAATTCTGATGCACTGTTGGTGGGGATGCAAATCAGCAGGGCCATGGTGGAGAACAGCGTGAGGGTCCACAGAAGTTAAAAGGAGCTGCATTATACCACCCAGCTGTCCCGCCTGGGTACGCAGCCAGAGGGACCGACATCAGCACAGAGAAGCGAGGGTGGTGCACGCAACCTACATCAACACTGCCCACCCGGCCCAGAAACGGGGTCAACCTAGACACCACCGCCGGGCGGGCCGACAACAAAGCTGTGGTCATACACTACACGATGGGGCGTAACTCGGCCATGAAAACAGGGATAGCATCTGCAGCAAATGAATGGAACGAAACGGTAAGTGGAATACTTCAGACAAGGAATTCAGACAAACTCTGTTCTCCTACGCAGCGGTTTTTAAAAGTCAAGCCGCATGTACGCTGCTGATTGCTAGAGGCTGGCGGTGGGTGGGAGGAGGAAGTGTGGGAGGGCAGGATCTCAAACACCCAGGCATGCTCCGGGGTCCCACAAAACTGTGGTGGGCACTACGGTTCACGGTAACCCGTTAGCTACTTTATGGACAACCAGAGGAGAGGGGCTTGACATTCCCAATCACAGCGATGATGGGATGGATATAGGCTAATCACCCTGACTTCCTCAGTACACATCATATCCATGCCCTGAAATATCTCACGGGATCTAATGAATACTTACTAGTATGAGTTAAAATGTTAACTACCCTGATTTCATCATTACATGCCATATACAAATATCAAATTATCCCCCAGTGGCCCTTACATTTGCACAGTTAGCACCTTTTTTAAAGTTCTGGTGGAGAACTGCAGCCAACGTGCCCCGTGTCCTACAAGTCCCAGTGGGCGCTGAAGAGAGCATCTCTAATTTTTCCAACTTTAGGAAAAAGCAGACAACTTTCCCAACCTTCTTTTGCTCTCCTTTTTTAAAAGGGAAAGATAAACAATGAGCAGAGGAAATCGGCTATCTTTTAGGAACATTCAAGGGACTTAAACCGGCGTGATCATCCCCAGTATAAAAGGAGCAATTACAGCAGGGTTTCCACTGAGAGCAGAAAATGGAATGGAGGTCACGTTCTCACCACGCGGTGCCGTCCCGCCGCCTCAGTGCACAGCTGCACGCCACCCACTTCGATTTTTAGGAGGGGTAGGGAGCCCCACTGTGGAGAGAGCCCCCCTTCCCCAGGGCACAGCAGTGAGAGAAGCCGAAGCTCTTGAGAAGACCCAAGCCTGCGCTGCTCGGGTGCCTGCCAATGTCCTCCACACCAGCATGAAGGGGCAGCGGTGCTTTAGGTCCTGCCCGTGCCTTCTTCCCCTGCCTCAGCCAGGGGCCTCCTCTCGCTGGGGCTGTCCAAACCCTGCCTCCCAGGGTGCACACCTCAACTCTCAGGCATGTGTAGAAAATGCTGCCTCCTGCTTGTCGCTCCCCTGGCTGCTCACCCACACCCAATCCCTGCAAGTCACTCTCAGGTCACTGGCCATGGTCGGCGTCATTCCAACTTCGGAAACTGACGAGAAATGAAACAAGGACGCCGTGCATCTGCGTTCCTTCGGGGCACTTCATCCTGCCCCTCTTCCAGGAATCAGTGCATAGCTCACATGCTAAACAGTAAATCAAAACTGCAACGGAGTGACAGGTGTTAGCAGCTCTGTATGTTAACTGCCACTGGAGCCCCTTGTCTTGGGACGTGACTATCCTTTAGACATGTGTGAGTCCCCACCTGTATGTAATTCAATTAAAATCACCCAACAAAGGCCATCATAGTCAGTGGCCAGAGTTGCCCACTCCCAACTTACGGTTGGCCCTCATTACTTACAGATTCTGTATTTGCAAAAGGACCCACTTACTAAAAGTTACTCATAACCCTAAAATCAATACTCGGAGGGCTTTCAGGTCACTGATGGAAATGCACCGGGCGCGCACAGCAGGTGACATGGGGCAAGACGGAGCATGCTCGGCCTTCCTGTCTCATCCTCCAACAGAGAAAACCAGGGCAGGGACAGGGAAAGGGGCAGCGGGTATAGCTCACAGGGCCAGGATTTGAATTCCTGTGCTGACACTCAGAACAGGGGCAGCCTCAAGCGAGTCACCTCACACTCATGAACTTTGATTTCTCTTTGTTAAAGGAAACGGGACCTAACAGAATAATTGTTCTCAGGATTTAAGACTGAAGCCTGTGAAGGGTGTGAGTGTGCCCTCCGTAGGCAATGGTCAGTGCACCATAGTTAGGCATTCACTGTGACTTATAACTACCTCAGGATCGGGCACTGATGGGGGAGACGGCACCTGTGCGTGCTGGACTTCGCTGAGATGCTCCCTTTCACTTCTCCTGCAATCAGCCCCACAGTAACTCCACGAAGCGAGAGTCGCCATCTTCATCTCTCCTGTCCCAAGTCCAGGATCCAGGAAGGTAGCCCCCTCCTAGATTTCGTGTGTGTCGCAATGCGAGCCTGCACCTCAGCCCTCTCCAGGGTGTGCCACACTCCATACAGGCTGGACTCCTGACAGAGGCTTTCCAGCGCCTGAAGATCTAGACTGGCTTCCTTCTCTGGCCCCACCTTCCAAGTCAACCCCAGCCGTGCAGAGGCACCTCCTCATGGGTCTCCATCTCTCCTCTGAGCTCTCCTGGGCCTAGTCCCATATCAAAGCCCTTCGATGGTCCTTCAGAGGCGGTGAACTCATGGCATTCACAACTGGTTTCCTACAGCAGCCCCTCTGCCCAGCACACACGTATATGTTGCCTGCTTCTATTGGGCCTCCTCGCCCGTCCATCCTCCTCCCTAGTGATTGGTTTCCAGAGAGGGGCATGTGACACAACTCTGGCCAATGTGGTGTGAGAGGGCAGGAATTCTGGGATACGTTTCCTCAATCAAAGAGACACACGGGAAGTGATGCATCTCCCCATCAAATGTAGTGGGAAATGACAGTGGAAGCGCTTTGAGGACCCAAAAACTCTGAGGAAGCTGCTTGGGGGACCAGGCTGAATCTGTAGCTAGGAAGGACAGAAAGACCTGGTCCTTGATGACCTGGAGGGGTCAGTGGACTGGCCCACCTGGCATTGCCTAACTCTGAGATTTATGAGGAGATTTGCCTTGCTGGTGAAGCCATTTTGATCTATGTATTTTTGTAACTTTCCACCAAAGAATCACAAAGGTATAGGCCTCGACTCGAATCCCTCGCCTCAGAATGCACCCTTTTGGTTCTAAACTCGTCACCCCCTCATCTGGTGTCTCTGCGTCTGCACCACAGTGTGCTCCAGTCATGTGCTGTGCGTCCTACTGGTGTGTGATAGAAGATGCTCAATAAACAGAGGCTGAACGTGCGGCTTCATCCCAGCTCTCCTCCAGGACCCCTTCCCTCCCACGTGTCACAGTAACAGATATGTCCGGGTGCAAGGACAGACAAAGGGACTCACACAGGGCCCCGTGCTAATGGCATTAAGAAAAATAAAAGTCATTTCATGTCTTACAGGAAACAGACCAGGAG